TAAAGTTAGCCCTTTTGAAATCAAAAACCCTAGTCTCAGATTTATTTTTGTTTATCCTTCCATTTAATTTGAACTGAATTAGCTCATGATCACTCGAGCCAAGGTTGTCTTCTACAACCATTGTATCTATGAGGTCCTCGCTACTCACCAAAACCAAATCTAAAATAGCATCCCCCCTTGTTGGTTCAGCAACTACTTGATGAAGGAATTCATCAGCTATCACATCAAGGAAAATCTGAGCCCTATTATTATTACTAGCACTTGTTCTCCAGTCTATATCTGGAAAGTTGAAATCTCCCATGATTATGCAGTTTCCATTTACTTCATTAAAAACATTAAAGAGGTCTCTATCCATATCCAAATTGGATCCTGGTGGTCTATAATACACCCCAAGCACTATCCCAAGGGAGGATCTGATAGTTTTCTTCCCCAATGTGATTTTTGCCCAAACAGACTCTGTCTTCTCCATTCCATCACTTTTTATTTCTTTACAATCTACCTCATCTTTGATATACAATGTGACTCCACCACCTATACCCTTATTTCTGTCTTTCCTAAACAGCACATACCCTTCAATACCTGTACTCCAGTCATGCCTAGTATTCCACCATGTTTCTGTTATTCCTATTAGGTTTTATTGTTTTATGGTTTGGGAAATGGGATCTGAGGTCTGTGCATTTAAAAATGCTTTTTGGTCTCTTTTGTAACTAAGCTCCTGTCCCAAGGTGGGTTTCTCCTCCATGAGTATATTACTTTGTTACTTTTCCATCTAGTCATGGTGCTTGCAACAGGAATATTGTACTGATAATAAAAGTTCTTTTTCTTTTCTTTTCGTAACCTGGTATTGGTTAATGTGTGTGTCCTGGTTTGTACTTTAGGGGTGAGATTTCCCAAGTGATCTCTCCCCTGATTTTCTTATCTGTACTTGGGCGGTGGCAGCGGCATTTTATCTCCAACATCTAGGTTAAGTTTTATACCAAAGCCTGGTTGATAAGGTTTTGGGGTACTTTTGCTGGCCCTCACTCCTGCATTTATTGTGCCAGAATAGGGAAGGAGTCATGATATGCCTCTTCTCCTGGGCTTAGTTATTCATGATGCACATGGCCAGGCAAGCAGGCTGGCTGGTTGGCAAACATTTTAAGCTTTGCAGGCAGGCAGGCAGGCAAGTTTGGCAGCTGGCAGGTAAATCTCTAGTTCACTGCCTGCTTTTTTGGCACCCCAGCCCTTTCCCACCCCAACTCTCTGCCCTCCCCCCCCACTCAACATACCCAAACTCTCTGTCCGCCCCTCTTACACCCACATCCCCTCCCAGATCTGGTACCCCAATCTTCTGTGCCAGATCACAATACCCTCCTACCTTAGGTCGCATTCCAAACCTCTGCACTCCAGCCCACCTGCTTCATCCCAACTCCCTCCCAGACTCCAGTTTCCCTCCTGCACCCCAATCCCTTACCCCAAGCTCCCTTCTGCACCCAATCTCCATCCCAGACCCTGCATTTCCTCCATTAATGTAATAGAAGAGTGCGGCCCTTGACCACTTTCCAAAATCTTGGAGTGGCCCACCCATCTAGGGTTGCCAAGTGTCCCATTTTGAACTGGAAAGTTCAGTATTTGAGCTTTCTGTCCAAGAAACAAATTGAGAAAC